TGTCTAGATCAAGAGAAGTAATAGTGCCACTCTCTTCTGCTTTGGTCATGCCCCAACTGGAATAATACTGTGTCCAGTTCTGGGCACCACAATTCAAAAAGGTTTTTCAGAAACTGGAGCGTGTCCAGAGGAGGGTGACTAAAATGGTGAAGGGTCTGGAAACCATGAATCCCTATGAGGAGAGACTTATTGAGTGGGGTATGTTCAGCTATGTTCAGCCTGAAGAAGGGAAGGTCAAGAGGGGACATGACAGCCCTCTTTAAATATTTGAAGTGGTGTCACATTGAGGATAGAGCAAGCTTGTTTTCTGCTGCTCCAGAGAATAGGGCATCAAGCACTGGATGCAAGCTACAGAAAAACAGACTTCACCTCAACATTAGGAAGAAATTCTTTGATGACAGTGTTGAACAGTGGAAGATGCTGCTGCCTGAAAGTGTGGTGGAGTCTCCTCTTTTGGAGGTTATAAACAGAGGCTGGATGGCCATCAGTCACAGCGTGTGTTGGATTGTGTGTCCCTGCATGGCAGAACGGGGTTAGATTGGATGGCCCTTGGGGTCTCTTCCAGTTCTATGATTCTAAGTCCCAGGATTCCAGAGGATGGAGCCAGGACAAGTAAAGTAGGATCAAAATACAGGACTTGGTTTTTACAAAGGATGTGTGTGTGTGTGTGTGCGTAGGAATGGTACCTGGTGCCCTGGTTTTGGGTTTTTCGGGGCATTCAAGCTGTCACTTTTAATGCTCAGGTTCAGAGATAGAGTCATGTTTCTTTTCTGGGTGTGTGAGGGTCCTGGAAAGGATATTGGCAATCTGGATTGTGTCCAGAAGAAGACAACCAAGATTCTGAAAGGTCTGGAAACCAAGCCCTGTTGAGGAACTACTGAGAGAGGTGGGTAGGTGTATCTTGAAAAAGAAAAAACTGAGCGTAGATATGTTTGTAGTTGCTGTGTGCCTCCAAGTCATTTTGACTCGTGGTAACCCTAATGGGAACCTATCCCAGGCAAGTTTCTTCGGAGGGGGTTTCCCATGGAGGCTGAGAGCGTGTGACTTGCTCAAGGCTACCCAGTGGGTTTTTAGGCTTGAGCAGGGGATTTGGACTCCCAACTACAGAGTTGTAGTCCAATACTCAAACCACCAGAGCCATGCTGGCTCATAGACACGACAGCCATCTTCACATATCTGAAAGGATGGTATGTAAAAGATGGCACCCCCTTGTTTTCTGTTGCTGCAGACCATAGGACAGGAACCAGTGAGTCAGAGGGAAGAACCTGGGACCCTTTCACACTAAATGATTATTATAGCACTATCATGCCCCCTTAATTGCCATGGCTGCATACTATGGGATGCTAGAATTCGTTGTTTGGGGAGCTCTCTGGCTGCTGATTCTAAATACATCTCCCTAAACTGCAAATCCCAGGATTCCATAGGATGGAACCATGAGAGTCGAAGTGGAATTTTAGTACTATAACCGTGCCATGTGAAAGGGCTCTGAGACAGGAGACCTGGGGTGGTGCTGTTCACACTGCACAGTTACAGCAGTGAAATTCCAGTTTTCCTGCCATGACAATGTCCTGTGGAATCCTGGGATGTGAAATTCAGGGACAGATATTTAAAATTCTCAGCCAGGCAGCTATACCACCTCCCCAAACTACAAATCCCAGGATCCCACAGCATGCAGCCATGGCAATTAAGATGGAACCATAGTGCTATAACTACGGTATGTAGCTTGAAAGGGCTCCTGGACTCCTGCCTCTTCTGCAAGATATAAAATGTGAAATTGCCTTCAGATTGACTCAACTTATGGCAAATCTCTGCCAGGGTTTTCTTGGCCAGATTTATTCTTTGGAGGTTTGCTTTGGATTTCCTCTGAGGCTGAGAGAGTGTGACCTGTCTAAGGTCACTCACTGGGTTTCCATGGCCAGGTAGGAATTTGAACCCTGGTCCCTGGACTCCTAGACCAACACTGAAACCACTAAGCCACGCTGGTTCTCTCTTTAAGGTGTAAGCAGACGACTAAATCCCTGCGCTCCTCCAAAGCTGCTACTCCAGAGATTCGGATCGTGTGATTTTTTCTTCTTACGCTCAGCTTTGATGATTTCACTCTCTGGGATTTAACACAAGTGTGATTATCAATTAACTGGGCCTTGGAGGGTGTCATTTCCCCACTCCCTCCCTTACACCCTTTCCAACAACCTGAGTGAGGAGATTTACCCAAATCCTCTTTTCAGATCAGTGCTAAGGTGCTTTCCAGGCTTTTCAATCTTCTCCACCTGCTTAACGCTCAGAGGTTTCATTTCTCCAGCGGCAGAAATCTGGGTGTTGCACATGTGAGCTTGATCTCCCTCTCTCTCTTTAAAAAAAGTTATTTTCTTCAAGCCTGCTTCATACTCATCTTTTATCTCAAATCGGAGGAATGCAATGCTTGGCCGTCTTGCATGTATGGTATATACCTTCAAAAGGGATCCGTGGGAGGCACCCATCTACACGGTAGAAATAATGTAGTTTGACCTCACTTTAGTTGCTGTGGATCCATCCTACAGAATCCTGGGATGCATAGTCCTGCAAGGCACCAGCAATCTTTGGCAGAGAAGGCTAAAGACCTCGTAAAACTACCAGTCCCAGGAGTACATAAGATGGGGCCACAGCACTCAAAGTGGTGTCAAACTTTATTTCCACAGTGTGTAGATGCACCCGAAAAGAGCCTTGGGTGCTCTGTCACACATCATAAAGGCTGCCTCTGCACTGCAAAAATAATCTGGTTTGACACCATTTTAAACTGCTATGGCTCAAAGCTATGGAATTCTAGGAATTGTAGTTTTGTGGGACAGGTAGCCTTCTCTGGTGCCACAACAACAAACTAAAAATCCACAATTCCATAGCATTGAGTCAAGGCAGTTAACGTGGTGTCATACTGGATTATTTCTGTAGTGCAGATGCAGCCATAGTTACAGCATACTTGGCCTTGCTACTCTGTGTGTACTCAGTGGAGAGCTGCAAGTCCACCTGTATGTCTACCTGTTTGTCCCATTCCAATGTTGCATTTGGCCGTGCAACGGTTTGTGCATCCAATTGTGCAATGCATTGGGCATTTAGTAGTGCAATGGGTTGTGCATTCAGTAGTACAGTACATTGCCCATTGAACTGTTCAGCAGCCTGCAGATTCAATTGCACAATGTGTTGGCATTCAGTGGTGCAATGGGCTGTGCATTATTTTTTCAGATGGTTGCACCTTCAGTGGTGCAGTAGTGTTACCCCAAGAACCAGCCTCCTTTCACCTCCCTCTTTTCCAATATTTAGGTTGATGTTAAAAGGGATGTTTTGAAGCTCATAGCCAAGAAGGTATCTCCCAGCTTGGGACAAAACAGCCATACCGTATAGGGAGATCTGGGACCATATTTGTGGATCCAGGAGGCTCAGCATGGGGAAGCGCAAGAGCACATGGCCTAGGATAGATCGATCAAGATTGGAATTGGCAGACTCCTTTCACCAATGGAAGTGGGTGACAAAACCTTGTGTTTCCAAGCAAACAGAAAGCCAAGAGTACCTCCCTCTGGGAGTGATACTCCATTGTCCCGTGACTTTTGCATTAATTGTCCAAACATTCCCAGCTTCCCCTCCCATTCTTTTCTCCTGGGAAATCCATTCTAATCCCAGATTCTGCCCCAGGATAGGTTTTACACCATAACTATGCCTGCTTGGGCATCACCAGTTTGATCTTGCTTCAGGTCAGACAAATTCTTTTGTTGTGTATCTCACTGGACTCCTCTGCTTGCTGGCCACACCATGATCCCCAGGCAGCCTGTTGAGCCACTTCTACTTCATGGTGTCCCCCCAATTGGAGCTCCACATCTGGAATCGGTATTGTACTGCCCTCTAATCCCTTTAATTTGCTGTCTGCTACTACCTTCTGTATCATGTATGCATGAGAGAGTGTCTTTGAGTGAATGGTGATTTCCTTCCAATTAATAAATAAAACTAATTTGAACCTTGCACTCTGGAGTTCTATTTTTCGGAAAGATCCTCACTTTAAGGTGCCAAGCCCTTCCAACTGAGCTAATAAAATCCCCCCCCCCCATTGAATATTAATTGTGGATGCCCTCCTGGGACCCTTGCATTTTGGCTATCTGTGAGTTCTGCATTCAGGTGTGCAATAAGCTGTACTTCAATTGTGCAGTACTTGGCACATTAGTAGTGCAATGAGTTGGGCAGTCAATAGTGCAATGGCTTGCAAATTCAGTAGTGCAATGGCTTGTCAATTTTTGTATTTTTAATTAAAAAAAATTAAAAAGTAACAAAAAAGAACAGTGCTGGTACCAAGCACGGTGGCAGAATTGCTCTGCTGTGATAAGTAAACAATGACTTTTTAAAACGTAACTTTCCAGGCTCTGTTCACATTCAAGCAACATGTTGGCCTGAATCCTGTTGGTTATTCCTAACTAGAACAGATGACATAAATGTGGAAAGGTAAGTCCTTGCATAGGTGGAAATCCAGTTGTTTCAATGGGTCTCTGCTGGTTGGGACACACAATGTTGAGTCTGAGTGGGAAGAATCCAGGAGAAGCTCTGGAGGCATTTTGACACTGTAGAAATAATGCAGTTTGATACCGATTTCATTGCCATGGCACCATCCTACAAAATCCTGGAATTTATAGCTTTGTGAGGCACCAGTATTCTTTGGTGAAGAAAGCTAACCATCTTGTAAAACTACAGATCCCAGGATCCCATAGGATGAAGCCAGAACATTTAAAGTGGTATCAAACTGCATTATTTCTACAGTGTAGATGTGCCTGTGGTGTGTCTTTCCATGGCTGCCTCCCATGTCTCATTTTAGACCAGGGGTAGACAACCTTTTTGAGCTGGGGGCCGGGTTGCTGTCCCTCAGACAATTGGGGGGCCGAAGCACCATAAATAAATAAATAAATAAATAAAAATAAAATTAAAAAAAAATAAAAAAATGCATGCACAGTCTCTCAGCCCCAGAAAAGCCATGGCAAAACCCCTGTGGAGATTTTGCCAAGAAAACCCCAAGAACAAGTAATAACAACAATAATCAATATCATCATGGCGGGGGGCGGGGGGTGGAGGCAGCGGTGGCGGCAGGACTGACCTGGGGCCGGTCCAAAGGCCTCAGGGGGCCGCATCCGGCCCTCAGGCCTTAGGTTGCTTACCCCTGGTCTAGAGGAAGAAGAGCTAGAGAACTGAGTGTTGAGAGCTGAAGAAGGATTCCAAGGCATATTTTT